AAACTGTTTGACATCCTCAATTGCAAGTGTCAAATTGTTCTGTGTGCCGAATTTGGCTGCCTTGCTGGCTGCAAAAAAGAAGTGCACATAACTGCACCTTCCCTAAGGAGGCAAAGATACAATTGAAGGAATTTGCTTTTGTTAAAGGTTAGAGAGACAAGATTGGTTCTTTTGGATCACACTAGATTGGTTTGCTAGGTGTGTCTGAGCAGAAACGACTTGTCAAAAGACGAAAGCGGCAAGACAATGAGAGACAAAGTCTTGCTAAGGGTAAGCAGAGAAGTATTCTGGACATTTCAATACTAACAAATGAAGTAAGTATCTCTTATGATGAAAATGAAGGACAGACCACTGATGATTAAGAGGAATGTGAGAGAAGTTATGAAGATGCTTTACAAACACATGTGCCCTCTACTTTGAAAGAAAAGACAGAATACAACAGATTAGAAATAACAAATGTTGCTATGCAGAGCATAAGATGCAGTATTGGTCTACATGCCACTACTGCTATTACCACAGCCGCCTTAGTAGATGCTGGCTTGATCACTGAAGAAGACAAAGATCACTGAATAAGAAACTTGTAGTTGACCACAATAAATTCAAGAGAGCCCAGGAAAAAATTATGAAGTCCCTAGAGCAAGAATGGGATGAGCTCTGTAAGAAGAGCGAATAGAATGCATCTTCTTCGATGGCCGTATAGACGCAACTAAAATTATGCTGAAAATAAAACAATTCAGAGGAGCAATTCCCCTGGTTAACAACTGCAAAAAGGCTTTGTCAAATATGGGCTTCAAAACATGGCTTTAAAGGCAAAACTCTCCAATACTTAAGAATCATAGTGGAATAAATAATTGGTGTGTATTAACCTTGCTAGTTCAACATCAAAGTAAAACATTTCTGGATTGAAGGCCTGCATCATGTGTTGTTCCAGCTGCAGCAAGTCGCTGCAAAAGAAGGCTGTTTTGCCAACCATTCAGCGCTCAGCATAGTATGCTTTCAGTGAAAAGATAATACAGACACTCTTGTGTTCAGATGATGTTCAAGAAAGGAGAGCTGGTGGGCAAAAGATCATTAACTTCAGGGGTGCAGATGATGACGTGCTAGGAGATTTTTCTGTATGTGCAAGAAAAAAGCCTTTAATCAATGCCAGAGCATCCATTCTGCTGGAGCTGATTGGTCTGAAGGTGTATATGAGCCACCTTTGATGTGCAAACTGACAATATTGGAAATAAAGAAGTTCATTGACAAACCAATGCAAGTACCTCAGAGGCTTGAGAAAAGAAGTGAAGAGGATTGAGCCAGTTTGGAGAATTATTCTAGTCATTGAAAGCGGGGGAGGGCTGTGCTGAATATTTTTTTGCTTTTTCAAATTGCACAAAGAACTACATTGGTTGCAAATGTTTTACAGGATAAAATCCTCTACCCACATGCCTGGTGGATTTTTACAATGTAGAGAAGGTCTGCCAATGCAGGTGTTATTAGCCTTAATTGTAGCATTTATTCCTAATGGTAAGGACAATATATTTTTATTACTCCTTTTTTGCACTTTGCATAATGGTGCTTATTCCCACAAGAAATAGCATGCTGTGGGTTGCTAGATGTGTTGATAGTTTTGATATTCAAACCACTATATGATTGGTGCCTGCTTATCTGAGGTAATGCCAATGTGAAGATACTTGTTTGTCTATTATGGTCAGGCAAAAGAAGTTGTTTTAAAGATGTCCACAGGTTTGATAATTGGATACATAAATGAATGTTTTCGCTTGTTGGAAGCAGTGGAATGCAGTCTTTTGGGTGATGAACTCAACCCTGCTTACCTTGCATTTTGCCCAGGAATCAGTATCTTTTCTATTTGAGTTAGTTTTAATAGAGTAGTCCTTATGATATTACATGTTTTGTTTGTTTGTTTGCCACATCTCACAGTTTAGACAACTGAGCAGCTATGTTATTTGTGGGTATTCCAAGGGCAGAAAGGTAGATTATTGCTGAAATAATAATAATCGAATATCATCGTACATCTTAAGAAGATACTTGGTTGATACCTAGGATGCTGGCAATAACCCATATCAACCATTGGTGCCAATCAATGATATTTGTGATACACTTTTAAATGTTAACTGAGTTTCATGTTTAATGAATAAAAGTATAACAACAACACACTTTATATCCATGAAGTGACATTGATAGGTTGTACCTGCCAAGAAGAATAGTGGGCAAAGGGCTATGGGAAATCAATCAAACTGTAGAAGAAGAAAAACTAAGTTTGATGACTATATGAATCAAAGTAGAGAAAAATTGTTGTAGGCTATGAAAATGGAGAACATTATCAAAACAACAGAAACAAAGGCAGAATATAAGGAAAAACAGCTGGATGACATTAAATCAAGGGCTTTCAAACTTGGCAAGTTTAAGGCTTGTGGACTTCCACTCCCAGAATTCCTGAGCTAACATGACTGGAGGAGAAATTCTGGGAGTTGAAGTCTACAAGTCTTAAAGCTGTGAAGTTTGAAGACCCCTGGATTAAATGGATGGAAGACCAATCTTTGCATGGACAGCACTTGAAAAACATTGAAGGAAAATGTGATAATTTGACAGTTGTTGATGGGAACCATCAAGAAAGAAACAGGTTTAATATTTGCTGTTCAAGAATAACCACTACAAACTAATGCCATGAAAGCGAAGATACAAAAATCCACTGACAATCCAAACTGCCGACTTTGCACTGACAAAATTGAAACTCTTTCACATTTAATATGTGAGTGCAGCAAAATCATGCAATCTGATTATAAAGTTAGACATGACTGAGTTGCTAAATTAATCCACTGGTCATTATGTACAAAATATGACTTACCTGTAACCGAAAAATCATGGGGAATAAATCTTGGGAACGTAAAGTGGAAAAAGTTGTCGAAAATGAGAAGGTGATGATCTTCAAATACAGACGGATCATCATTTGGAATACAACGCCACATCTCACAGTGGTCGAAAACTGAAGTGTGCAATTTACTATAGCAGGAGACACCAGAGTTGAACAAAGCGAACTGGAAAAAATCATGCAATATCGTGACCTGACCATCGAAACTACGTGTTTATGGATAGAACATGTAACAGTAATACCCATTGTCATTGGGACACTTGGTACCATGTCCAAGTATTTTAAAATATACATCAAGAAGTTGCAGCTTCCTCCAATAACACCTGGGGAACTGTAAAAAAAACCTGTGCTGCTTGGAACATTGTACATTTTAAGAAGATACTTGATTGATACTTAGGATGCTGGCAGCAATCCATATCAACCATCAGCACCAGTCAATGATATTTAAAAATACATTTTTAAGTATTCAGTTGACTTGAGTATCATGTTTAGTGAATAAAAGAGATAACAACAACAACAACAATAATAATAGTAAATGAAGAAGCTAAAATGTTCTGGGTGTTAGACGTGCCCTAGTCAGATCCCTTAGGAAAGAAAGACCCTCAAACCCCATTTGGGTGAAGTAATAGGTTCTTTTACTAAAGATTGCTGGCTACAAGCTAGAACTAAGATTCCCGTGGAAAAGTATACAATTTTTTGCTCTCATCCCAGCTCTCCCCCCTTGAGAGATCATCACTTCAGCCAATGGAGAGCTGCAAAGGTGTTTTGAGAACCTCTGAAATGTTTGGGGCAATCCACATTCCACTCTCAGGGTCCGTGGCCTTGAAGATTGGCACAAGCTGGTTCTGGATCTCTCTGGTCTTTGTCAAAGTATCATTCCCCTCCTCCCTAATCCCATCATATCCCCTTACATGTTTTTTGCCCATTTGTCCCACTTGTTCCCTCCCCACAGCTTTTGATGTCAGGATGCCAGCAAGGGACCATGCTGAAGATGGCAGAACTGACATTGCGACTTTAGAATTCAAACAGACACACAGCAGCTGCATAACACACCAGACTTAGTAAGTGTTAATAAGAAAGACAAATGTGCCTGGATAGTGGAGATGGCAATATTTGGAGACAAGAGAAGAGAAAGAACTGGACAAGATAATAAAATGCAAAGACCTGCAAATAGAAATGACCGGCAAAAGAAAGCAAAGGTAGTACTAATAGTAATAGGCGCCTTGGGTGCAGTCCCAAAACGACTGGAGCATCACTTCAACATCATCGACATTGCCAATTCACCATCAGTCAGTTGCAAAAGATAGCTTTACATGGAACAGATGTGACATTACTTCTAACATCATAAAATATCAACATCTACCTATCCCAGGACCTTGAGAAAGACTCGATAGGTGGATAAAAATGCCAAATCCAATCTGAATATCTGACTGACTGTGTGACAGATCAATAATTCCAACATGACTGCAGGTAGTCCTCAACTTACAACAGTTCATTTAGTGACTATTCAAACTTACAACAGCACTGAAAAAGTGATTTATAACCATTTTTACAGATTGATCTAGCATCCCCATAGTCAGGTGATCAAAATTTGGATACTTGGCAACTGATTCATATTTAAGATCGTTGCAGTGTGCTGGGGTCATGTGATTATCTTTTTGCAACCTTCTGACAGTTAGAGTCAATGGGAAGCCAGATTCACTTAACAATCATGTTACTAACAATATCTGCAGTGATTCATTTAACACGAGTGGAAAGAAAGGTGGTAAAATGGGTAAAATTCACTTGCCAAATGTTTCACTTAGCAACAGAAATTTTCAGCTCAGCTCAATTGTCATATGTTGAGGACTACCTATATCTTTATTTTAAAAATTTCTATCTATTTTTCTCTTGTCGGTATCATAGTTTTTCAGAGATAAAATGCAAATTATACATTGCAAATAAAACATACCATATAAAAATTAATTTAAACGTAATTGAAGATTAAAATACAGTGTAAGAGATACAATTGTTGTTTTTTTCTTTTTGCTCTTTTTTAATTGTTCAGTCAGTTGATACATCAAACCTCTAAGTAACTTTATCATAATTGACTGCAAACATTAGCTGGATTCTTTTCTTTTTTCAGGTGAACTTTCTAGCAGAGATCAGCCTGTAGAATTGCTAAACACATCCAGAGTAAATCATACTACAAGTTCTGGTAAGAGAAAAAGCATTGCATTTTCTTATTTGTTTGTTTGTTTGCTTGCAGTGAGTTAACAAAATTGTAAGAAAGTATATTTTCTTTCACAATATTCTCACTGCAAATTATAGATTCTAATCTATTCGTCCAAATATATTTTCCTTTTGACTATTTCCATCATTTTGTATGATTCTATTTTGCAAAAGAAATAATATATGGAATGGTAACTGCTTGGAAGAAGTAGATATGACATAGGTGTCTTTAACTTGGTAACAGGTACATCCCAGTTTGTGCACCTACCTATACATACTTTGTTGTTCTTGTGTTCGGCTTAATAGTAGCTGATACTAATTTTTAAAAATGTAGACTATTCTGTGATTGAGGTACTTGTTTCTTCAAGAAAATCCTCAAAATATTTATTTAGTGATTAGCTTTGCAGTAGCTTTAATTTATATTTCTTGCTGATTTTTTGTCATATTTTATAAGTTTTATTTAAATAAATGATAATCACAGTACATATATTACTATTACTAGTAGTTTTTACAGTTAACATAGAACTTCATTATAATGTATCTCATAACAATTGAAGGTGCTACATATGAAAGAAGACTGTTTATTATACTTTATATAAAAAATAGTGTTCTTTTTTGAATTTTGAGTTTAAGAATGTGCTCAAAAACCCTTTCTTGAGAGCTTGCCTGTTCATAATATGATCATTCTGATGCAAATACCATTTTCTGTGAGGCAAATTGATGTGCTGCCTACCATCTCACATAGTACTCAATATTTCTTCCCCAAGTAAATAGGCTCATTTTGAGATATAGCATTGCACTGCTATTATTTTGAAGAAAGTTTTCTTGACAAGCTCTTAAAATGGTTTGGATAGCACTACAGTAAGGTGGGTGCACAGTTGACTAGCCAACTTTAATACAATTCAGATTAGTAGCTCAACATTAGATGGAAAGCAGGAACTAGTGGGTTGTTGCAGGAATTTGTCATAGGATCAGTAATATTCAACAATAATGATCTGGATAATGTGACTGATTGTTTATTAAATTTGTGAATGATAAGAAAATTGGGAGGTCTGCCCAAAACCTAGGAAGTCAGAACAATAGCGACAGCAATAGCACTTAGACAGGAGTGTTAAACTTGATTTCATTGAAGGCCGCATCAGGGTTGTGTTTGACCTTTGAGGGGGGGCATGGCATAGCTAGGGTGAGTGTGGCCAGCTCGATGTCACTTATGTTGGGGGCATCTGTGGTGGCCAAGTGCTAAGGCAGGACTTCCCACAGACTCTCTGTCACTCTCATTATAACCTTCCTTCCCCTTCCCTCTTCATTCTCCTTTCTTCTACTCTTTGCTTATTTTTCATTCCTCGCTCTCTTCCCATTTCCTTCCTTTTCTTTGTCTTTCCTCTTTCCCTTTCTCCTTTCCTGTCCCTTCTTGCATGCTCAAATGTAAAGGGCAAACATTTGTTTTGCTAGCCCTCTGCCAGTGAAAACTGAACCTGGCACGGCCACACACAGCCCTCATGGGGCCTATTTTCAGCTGCAATGGCCTCCTGCAGCTGTTCATTTTTGCTGGCAGGAGAACTGCAGGAGGCCATCATAGCTGAAAATGGAGCCTGGGAGCGCCACTTGCGGTCTTCCTGAGTGAAGCCATCTTTAGATAGTGTCTTCAGGGCTGCCACAGCAAGCTGTGGGAACGGGAGTGGGGAGGTGGAGATAGTGTAGGATATGTAATCATAACAACATTCCTTCCCTTGGGAGTCAAGGCCATCTCACCAGCACCTGGAAAGGCAGGACTGAGAGTTAACTGAAGTTGGGACAGTGGCCTGATTGGACCATGTGATGCAGTTGTGAATGGAGGGGAAGGAACTTTGGTTTTATTTTGGGTGGGGAAAATGCAAGGCTTTCAGATTCAGGTTTCCCCCAGATGTGCCAATGACATCGCTAATAAATGTATACTTTGAAGAAGATAACGGCTTCAGAGTTTTAATTCTGTTGGAGGTTTAACTTGGAACCCTGACACTGCGCTCTGTTTTGGCTGGCAGAGGCACCACAGTCCGATCCTTTGCTGTTTCCAGGGCGGCCCCATGGGCCAGATCTAAGCACCCAGCTGCGGGCTTTGAGTTTGAAACCCCTGACTTAGACTTATATAGTGCTTCATAATGCTTTACAGCCCTGACTAAGTGGTTTAAGAGTCAGCATAGCATTGCCCCCAACAATCTGGGTGCTCATTTTACTGACCTTAGAAGGATGGAAAGCTGAGGCAATCTTGATCCGTTCAGAATCAACCTCCTGACAGTGAATAGTGAGTTAGCCTGCAGTACTGCATTCTAACCACTGTGCCACCAGAACAAATTCACAGTCTAATCGGAGCAGTTTGGAAGACTAGATTGAGGAAAAAAAGATGTTCTTTAACAGGACATGTATTGTACTATATGTAGGAAGAAAAACGTAGACATTGGAGATTCATCTTTTGGAAACAGTATACTTGATAAAAGTGTGTGTGTGATCATTAATAATAAGCTGAATCTGAATCAACACTGTAAGACTAGTGCTAGAATGTTTTCAAGAAGCAGCTAGACAGCCAAATATAGTTTCTATATTTCTGTGTATGGAGATTCTCAGTCATCCAGATCATGGTTGTCCAGAAGGTGCTTTTCAAAAGCAACTGGACCTTTCTTGAAAATATTTTGCTTCTCATTCAAGAAGCTTCTTTAATTCTTCCATTTCTATGTTTTTATATTCTTCTAATATATTCTGTATATTCTCAAATATAATTTGTTTCTGTGATTAAAAAAACTCTATTTATAGGGTAAGGATGGTTTGATGCATTTTTCTTTAACTGAGATATTATATTGCTCTGATTCATCGGATCCTTTGTATTCTTGGTCTTAGGGGCAATTCACTATCTATAATTCTGCATTTCTTTGTCCATAACTAAACTGGTTTCTATTGGGAAAAAAATGATCATCCTAGGTGAAGCCAAGTCCAAAAATGCCAGGGAATTTCTGGAAGCCTGGCACTCTGACAAATTAGCCATCAATAGACACATTGACAATATCTATATGCAAAAGAGACAATCAAAGGGAACAAAATGGGAACAGCCAAAAAGGGAAGAAAAAGACAGAAACACTTCTCCACCAATATCAGCACTCAGTTCAGCATAGATTAACTCCAAGATTAACATCAGACCAACATATAAACAATATCCCAATAAAGAAAGTGCCAAAGAAGCCAACAATAAACAGCCCAACCAAAGAATCTTTAACACAAACACACCACACACACCCAATACTGACAGGGCAAGGTACTAGAATATAAACTGAGATCTAAACCCTCTCCTTACCAGCACAGATGATGTTACAGATAATGAAATGTCTGCAAGAAAACAAGCAAGCCCAGAGAGTACCAAGGACTCTTCATTTCAGCTATAAATATTCCCCTTTATTGGTAGGTTTTTTTCCCTGTTTAATCCTGATATGTCTCCTGGGTACAAATATCAAGAGATTTCCTCCTTTTTTGTACAATGTCAAAGACTCTTTGCAATGATAGAAAAAACATATTACTCCAATGTAACAACCACTGGCTTCCAACAGATGTGCTCAGTATGGATCATGTTCATTATAAATACAGCAACCAAAATCAGATTATTTAATGCCATTGTCATAGTGGAGTGGATAGCCCAACTGCAGAACACTTGGCCAGTTGTCTGTAAGGCACTGCAGGAGGCATGTCAGACATATAAGAAACAAGCTGACAAAAAACATGTGAAGCCAAAATATTTTAAAGTAGGTGATAAGAATTTACCTCTTCATGAAGTACTTACAGTCCACCCAACAATCAAAGAAATTTGGTCCTAAATATGTGGGCCATTCGCAATTGTTAAAGTAATTAACCCAGTACAATTGGAGTTGCCTAAGAATCTTAAACATATTCATCCTGTATTTCACTGCAGCTTATTGAAACCTAAAACTGTCACCCCTTCTCTCTGCACCTGACACCCCTTCTGTGCCCACTCTAATCAAAGGAGAGCAGCACTTTGAAATTAAAGAAATTCCGGATTCCGGGAAACGTAGAGGGAACGTCCAGTATCTTGTTGCCTGGAAACATTTTCCTCCTGCACAGTCCGAATGGGTGGATGCTAAAGATGTCCAGGCACCTAAACTCCAAATCTTTCATAGAAAATATTCCAACAAACCCTGAATGAATCTTTCTTTGTTAAGATGTGTTGTTGATTTTAATTGTATAAAATTTATCTGTATGGTTAACGCCGCTGTTACTGGGGGTTGAATGTCAGTTAGCCTGCTGCTTGCTGCCATGGAAAAGGACAGAAGAGTCAGTGGAGAATTTTTCATTGCAGTGGTCTGGGCTTTGCTTATCTCTTCAAGGTCATTTCTTCTAGCTTTGACACCCTCTGGTTGCCTAGTTAGAAGGGGTTTGGGCTCTACAGTTTGTTTCAATTTGCTGCTTTGTGCACTTCTGCGTCAGATCTTGCCTGAAACTTGTTGCATTCGGTTCGCTCGTTGCATTCGGTTTGCTCATTCGTTAACCGTTAATTAACCCATTCCCTTTGGGCGGTGCGACAATCCATGTTACCAGGTATTGAAGGGTCCCTCAATATTTATGGGAGTCTAATATTTCCTTAACTTCAAAATGTTGTTTGCCTTCCACCATGAATGATTTGGGAACAGGTGGAGGGATTGGCCTCAGGAGAGCGAACACCTCAGGTTTCAACAAACTACAATGAAAAATGGGGTGGAATTTACAAAGGGACTTGGGCAGGTCTAACTCTATTATAACAGGGTTAATGATGTGTTTGATTGGGAAAGGCCCTACAAACCTAGGTCCCAACTTCTTAGAAGGTTTCAGTGACTGTAAGTATTGTGTGAAAAGACGATTCTTTTCTTGTCTCCTTCTCTGGCTTTAGTAAATAACTTGCATATGTCTGGCCAGGTATTTTGTAACTGGCCGATCCAGTCTTTCAGTGAGGGGATCACAGGATCCTTGGTGGGCAATTCGGGCATAGGCTTGAAGTCCTGACCAGTTGCAACTTGGAAAGGGGTGAAACCAATACTGGTATGTACAGAATTGTTGTAAGCCACTTTTGCAAATTGTAAAAGATAGCCCAGTTGCCTTGTTGATAGTTGATGAACTACCTAAGGTACTGTTCCAGAACCAGGTTTGCTCGTTTACACCTCCCCATTTGTTTGTAGATGGTGACTAGAACCTAGTGGTCAGTGCCTAATAAGTCCCAAAAGGCCCTTCAGAACTTAGAAGTGAACTGAACCCCACTATCTGATATGAAACATTGGGGTGCACCATGTAGTTTGTAGATGTGATGCAAAAACAGCTTAGTGAGTCCTCGTTCCGTGGGTGTCTTTTGGCGTAGGACAAAAGGCACTTGGTTTGAAAATAAGTCCATCACCACCCAGATTACTGTATTCCCTGTGCTTTCAGGGAGTTCTGCAATAAAGTCCATAGAGATCTCTCTCCAGGGTGCTGACGACTTGCTATAATCTGAAGGAGCCCTGGTGTTTAACCCTGTCTCCATTTGGCAGATGCACACACAAGGCAACTGGATATAGCTTTCAATGTCTTTTTTAAGGGAAGACCACCAGAATTGCCTTTTTATTAAATATCATGTCTTTACAAATCTGAAATGTCCTTCTGCTTTTGAAATCATGGCATGTCTTCATAATCAGGAACCTTTGACTAGCTGACACATACAGTTTTGCTCCTACCCAAACTAGTCCACCCTGGATGAAGCAGACTACTGTGGTTGTGACACCTCATCATCTGTTAGCTCCTTTTTTAGGGCAGAGGCCACATCTCTGATGGTTACTTCGGATGCCAGTTGACAAGATTGAACACTGACTTGATTATTTCTGGTTTGGAGCAGTTGTATAGTGACATCCATGATAGCGCATCAGCTAGGAAATTCTCTCCCCTCCCCGGAATGTAGCACAAAGTGAAATCAAACTGCTGAAAGTGTTGCGCCCAACATGCTTATTTCGGAGAGAGCTTATGTGGGGTTTTCAGTGCCTCTAAGTTTTTGATATCAGTCAACATCTGGAAAAGAATTAAGGAATGTACTCTGATAGCCTCCTTTCCCCTCCTTCATTGGAATGGCAGCATCCCAAAAGGGGACCTGACTCCATCCTACCATGAATTCCATTGACAATTGACTAGATTATTTTGTATAGGTTTGAATAAATCTTCTATGATGCAAAATGGTCCCGATTCTTTGCAACTGACATTTATTTAGATGCAGCAGTAAACATTCAAAAACAAATTGCAATTCCTATCCATGTTATTTTCAAATATCAGTATGCCTTAAAAAGGATACTACTATTGAAAGGATATTTTTAATCATCTTTATGCTTTGCAACATGGAGAGACAGATATATGGTATTTCTAATAGCAGTGCAATGTATTGGATAAAAATGTCAGCTGTCCAGATAGCAAATCCAAAAAGAAAACTCCTGGGACATTGTTCTTCCCAAAAAGTAAAACTTTATTGAGTGCAATACATTGGCACAGAAGAAGCGAAATCAGCTCTTAGTTTCCCATGTGAAACCCATATAATTAAATTTGTTTTCCCCCTTTGGCCATCCCCCTAAAGTTCATTGCGTTACCCAATTGAATCTGCTCCTTTTGTTATGAGTACAGCCTGCATCATTCAAAATACTTGTGCAGCATGACCTTGGAGGTGGCAGCAGGGTCCCACTACCTGCAGGATTATTGACATTCCATTCCCACCCCAGACATTCCAACCACTCCCTTCCCGAATGTTGTCAAGCTGACAGTGAAGAAGTAACTAGGTGAAAGCAAATAACTCTTGACAAAAACTTTCCTTAGCATTAGGAAAAGACTTCAGATCAAAAATACTGTCAACATATTTACTGTAAATAAATACAGTAAATACAGTAATTCTTTTCATGCTACATTCAATTTTAGATAAAAAGTTAAATAATTTTATGCTTGGTATATTGACATTCTAAAAAGTGATTAATATTCATAGAATTATTTTCAACACCTTAAGCCAGTGGTGGCTAACCTTTTTTGGCTCCTATGCCAAAAATTGTGCACATGTATGCGCTCGTGTGCCAGCACCCAGAAGTCAATGCGTGTGGCCCCTGTGCACATGTACGTGCCACCCCCTTCCCTCCACTTCACCTCCCAGCTGATTTTCAGCTCGTTTGAGGCCTTTTTCGGCCTCCCAGAGGCTTGAGGAAAACTCCTGCAGCCTTTGCAGGCTGAAAAATGGGCCCATTTTGTCACTTCCGGTATTTTCGGAAATAGAGGAAGTGAAGAAATGGGCCTATTTTTCAGCTTGCAAAGGTTTTCCTCAAGCCTCTGGGAGGCCGAAAAAGGCCTCAAACAGGTCGAAAATCAGCTGTGAGGCATGCGCATGCACAGTGAGGTAACTTTGTCTGCGGCTTACATTCCAACACAAATGGCTCTGCGTGCCACCTATGGCACGCATGCCATAGGTTTGCCATCACGGTCTTAAGCTTTATAAATAATACAATGTTAATAATTTATAACTGCATTACATAAATACAATTTTATTGAAATGACCATTAAAATTAAAATAAAATATCAAGATTTATAACAATAAAAGGGAAAGAAAGAAAGAAAAGAGGCTTTAGTCTGAAATTTACACACTATCATACACTGTTAGGTTTTCAAACTCCAGATTTAACACTATTTAATATAAATCATAGGGCAAATATTTTGTATCTTACCGAATAATAATTGCAGGTGAATTGACTTTTTCTCTTTTATAGTTGATGTGTCTCCAACAGTACCTTTGCAAGTTTCACCTATGGATTTTCACGTGGATCATCAATTCTCCATATCAGTGGCTGAACCTACATTACGTGAACAGCAGCTCCAACAGGAATTGTTAGCCCTCAAACAAAAACAACAAATCCAGAGACAGATCCTTATAGCAGAATTCCAGAGACAGCATGAACAACTTTCTCGTCAACATGAAGTTCAACTACATGAACACATAAAGGTGTGTGATGCAGTTTGAAGGGCAAGGATGTGGGGTATGTGTGCAAGCGTATGGTTCTTATATATTATATTTTTAAAAATTCAATTTTTGTGTGTGTCTGCATGCTTGCCTCCCTGATTGACTGACTGAGTGGAATATTACTCTTGCTGATATGCAAGAAATTCAGTTTCCATAATGTCTCAGTGAGTAAGTGAACAACGAGAATAAACAGGACTTTACCAAGGGAATGTTGTGTGGGAGGAAAGGGGAGAGTATTTCTTTCCTCCCCCTCTCCTCTTTTTATTCTTTTTTGTTCTAGTTCAGAAAGATGGTTTCTGAAAACTTAGAACCAGAGTCAGTTACATGCGAAAAACATTGTGAATTTGGCAACTTCTGTTGGGGAGGGTTGTGTGGACAGTTGATTTGATTTTGAGATGTTCATAGACTGGTTGTAGGACAACGTGTCTGTTGATGGAATTGCTTGTGGAGTGCCTGGCTTCGATGAACTCATGAGCACAGCAGGTGTTAGTGTGGCCAATGATGTTTGTGTTGCTCCAGTCAAACTGGTACAAACCCTTCAAAATCCTTTTCCTTTTCCGTTGTTTTTTAAATTGGATTTTTCTCCCAATGCTTATACTGCCGCTCCAATAATGCCAATGAGTTCTCTTTTTAAATAGTCTTTTGGGGCTTTATTTAATTAGAAAAAATTCTTCTCATCTTGCTCCAAACACTGTTCACTTTCTCTGCTCCTGCTCAGCGCTTAGATGGTCACGATTGTCGCAACCTTGTGGCTGCCATTTTGACCAGCCTCTTCTCTCCATCGTGGCATAGAGGGAAAAAGCTGTGGATTTCCACAGGAGAGTGGTGTTCTCTCCCCGGCCCTCATGGAGCATTCCTCCTTGGCTTCACTGCCCCTCCAGAGTGGTTTTCAGCTCCCTCCAGAGCCCACAAACAGGGAGAAGCCAGCACAGGAACTGAGAGCTCCGTTCTCTGCTTTTGGATCTGTCGCGAAGTCAACTGGAAGTCTGAACCCCTCAGAATCCAAATCAACTGCACAGCCAACCAGAGACAGCACTGACCTTCAACCAACCCTTACTGCCCCCCCCCAGCAGTTCATCTCCCAATGATCCTGACCTGTTGTAATCTCCTTATCACAATACTCATCACAAGTCTCACTGATGACTCACAGCTGACCCATCACAAGACTTTCACTTGACACAGCGACACCTGAAGCCTTTATAAACAGAAGAACACTGACACTGACATCCCCTAAACTCTGCTGAAGATGTTATCTAGCCTGGTAACAAACATTTGGAAACCAACCCAGAAGCTTGGAGAACAAGCCTGCACCTTCATCCTACACCTGAGCTACAGATATTTGGCACTATTGCAAAATTATAATTCTGCTTCTGTTTTGTAGAAGTTGTGGAATTTTTTAATTACTGAATGGTGATTTTTTCTTTAAAAAAAAAGATGTGTAATTATGTTGCAAAAATACTGTTCAGTATGCTTGCAAGAATCTGTGGTGTGATATCATCAAACACATCTTTTCTTCATTTTCTCCCTTGGTTTCTTATTTAGAATGTACTTTTTTCATTGATTTAAAATGCTTTATTTTGACAAGTAGCAAGGTAACATTCTTAGGACTTGAGTGGTTAAGGATTGTGTGCATTTTTACTTTCCTTTATTTTCTTGGCCTAACAGCAACAACAGGAGATTTTAGCAATGAAACATCAGCAGGAGCTATTGGAACACCAGAGAAAATTAGAACAGCACCGGCAGGAGCAAGAATTGGAAAAACAACACAGGGAACAGAAACTCCAGCAGCTTAAAAACAAAGAAAAAGGAAAAGAAAGTAAGTAAAAGCAAGCTAGGTATTATAGTTATGTAATAGACATATTTCTCTGCAACAAATATATCAAAAAATAAATGGTTCTTCCTTGTCTGCTCCTATCCCTTTAACTTGAATAATCTAACTGAGACCCTATTTTATAGATAGGATTGAAAGGTATATACCCATTAGAACTTCAATCCCAATGTAGCCTAAGGCTATTCACTGGTGTCTTCATGCTGCACCTACAAATCTGTGTCTTTTAATACAGTGGTCCCCAACCTTTTTGGTACCAGGGACCAGTTTCACGCAGAAACACTTTTTCAAGGACCGGGGGGGGGGGGGGGGAGACACTTTTTCAAGGGGGGGGGGTAGGGGGAGGAGTCCGAGTTTGGTGGTTTGCTTGCAGACGTTTCATTACCTGACTAGATTACATCTGATGTTGTTACCTAGTCGGGTAATAAAACGTCTGCCAATGCCTCCTCATTGCAACCCTGAGCGACAGATATTCTCTTCTATTGGGACATTTAAAACGGAGGGTTTCAGCTGCATTCAGGAACTGCGCCGGGCTGAGGAGCGCCTTCAAAACTGAGCGCTGGGCGGCGGCGGCCCGTGGCTGTCTCCGTGGCTCAGGACAAGTCCCTGCAGGATGGCTGAGAAGCTCCGCCTCTCAGCCCTGCCTCCCTCAGCCTCATCCCTCAGGTGTCTCCCTCCCTCAGCCTTATCCCTCAGGTGTCTGCCTCGTTCCTCTCTCAGTCGCTCTCTCGCTCCTCCACCAGCCCAGGAAGAAACTGCTTCAAAGAAGCCGGCAGGGTGGCTTTTTCTGTCAGCGCAGCTCCTCCAAAGTGCCCGTTCTCCCCCACCCCGCTGCCCGCAGTTCAATCCAGTGCTCCGTTCTGCCTGCCTGCCTGCCTGCCTTCGTTTCTGGTTATTTCGGAGCAGCTTTGGCTGAGTAAAAGAGGCGAATAGTTATTATTCTCAGCCAAAGCTACTCCGAAACAACCAGAAACGAAGTCAGGCAAGGCAGGCAGTAGGGAGCACTGGACTGATCCGCGGGCGGCGGGGTGGGGGTGAACGGGCGCTTCGGAGGAGCTGCGCCTACAGGAAAAGCCACCCTGCCGGCTTCTTTGAAGCAGTTTCTTCCTGGGCTGGTGGAGGAGCGAGAGAGTGACTGAGAGAGGAACGAGGTGGGAGGAAACCAAAGCCGCTGAGCCAGAGAGCAGGACAGGCTTTGGTTGCTTCCTCCCTCCCCTTCTTTCATTTGTGTCCTTGATCCCTGATCCCAGCAGCATTCACCAAAGGCGAAGAAAGCCGCCATTTTTATTTTATTTTTATTTTCTTTGCGGCCCGGTACCAAATGATCCACGGACCGGTACCGGTCCGCGGCCCGGTGGTTGGGGACCCCTGTTTTAATATATTCCAAGTTTCAACTTTTTTGTGGGATTAAGCCCTGTTGGCATAAATCCACCTTGAGAACATCAGACATTTCAGTCCATATTTAACAACACTGTGGGGCTAAAAAACAAACTATCCAACACATAGTGACAGTGTGTCAAAACAGAACTTAAAATGATTTCTTGGTTGTGACAAATAAAATAAAAAAAAATATTTGTAAGTTAGATATTTGTAATCTTCCTATTAAAGATTACAGATTTTATATTCTGTGTTTTGTATTTTACTCTGTGTTCCTTTTTATTAAAATACGATGTGAATATGCCATACAATAAATAATAAATCACAGTGAAAACATTGCAAGGATTGTGATACTGCTATCTGATTTCCTTCATTATTTTCAGTATTTTAATAACCATTTTTGTTTGGCTTTGTTCCTATACTTTATAAGTCCCTCCTTCCTATTGCTGTAAGGCAATAGCTCTGAGGGGATATTGTTTTTGCCTTTTCTAGTTTGATAAAGGGCAGTTGGACTGAGTGCTGTGCATATTGACAGAACGAACCTCACACCTTAAATATGTTGCAAATGATTAGCCGTTCTTTCGATTTTATTCACGTGTTTAAAAGCCACTATTTTATGTTACCAAGTCAGTCAAACTTTCAGTATCAACTGCCATTCCAATGTTATGGATATTTGCAGGAAATACAGGAACAGATCTTCTAACTCTTTTCCATTCTACAAGATTGAATGTTCATAATTGACAAACATTCTGGTACTAACTTAATTTTTATGTAGGCATTACAGAATCATGTGCATGGTAGATTTCTGGGACTCTGGTGAATAAGAAAGGCTAGAATTTGCATATATTGGAAAGGATTGCTAACATTCTTAGAGATATTTACATATAGTCTTCTATGTACAACTGGTCACTTAATGGCCATTCAAAGATACAATAGATCCCCCCTCTCCAAAGGCTACATATGAACCTCTTCAAATTTGGGGCAGCTGCAGCTCCACAACAGTTGTTCACCTTTCCAACCGATCTTAGGGATGCTACAGCAATACAGGAAATTGTGTTTATAAATCAGAAATATAGCAAAAGAGAGAACTCAAATTAAAATTCATTCCTGCTTTACATGCCATGTTTTCTGTTTAATAAACCAAATTATTTATATAATGATTATATAGAATTGCTCACATAAAATGAAAAAAATGAACTATTTTTAAGAGATTTTTTTTTCTGTACATAAGCGATGTGACAAAAAATAATATGTAGAAATCCTCAATTTTGTGAATACTTACTTAAACAAAAGCTAAATTTCTGTAAGTATTGTTCTGTATAATTTTATTCCTGAAATCTTACTTAACTGATCTTCTGTTTATAGGAAGAAGTTAAATATAATTATCTATTTTCAAGTACGGGTTCTAATTCTTTACATATTTCATATTATCAAAATATTGACAGCTTATAATATTAGAAAGGTTAAAAATTTCAGATAACTCTTCAAGACCCTAATTCATCAATTATATGTAGTTATATCTATTTTCTTTTGGTTTTTTAGGCGCAGTAGCAAGTACAGAAGTAAAAATGAAATTGCAAGAGTTTGTTTTAAATAAAAAAAAGGCTTTGGCTCAGCGAAATCTCAACCACTGCATTTCCAATGATCCTCGTTTCTGGTATGGGTAAGCATTCTTACCACTATCCCATGTTTCCCGTCATTCTTGTAAATGGATAATAGATGACAAATGAGGGTTCTACTTTATGAACACTGCAATTTTAAAAGCCAATTGAATTCACAGGTAACATGTACAGTTTAAATTAAAATGTATCCTTTTTGAGGAGAGAGGATAATAACATGATACTGACTAGATGAAAGTACTGTGTTTCTCTGAAAATAAGAACCAACTCTGAAAACAAGCCCTATCCTGACTTTTTTGGGGTGGGCCTAATATAAGCCCTAGCCTGAAAATAAGCCTGGGGGATGGGCATGGCCAGCTTGAGAGGTGGCGAGCGTGAGGGGGTCAACAGTTTCCTGCAGCAGCTGTACTCTGTCAGCCCTTTGGCACAGTGCAAATGTTGTTAAGTCCAAGCATAGAGGCAGAGGCAGGGAGAGAAGACAGGTGATCCAGATGAGCTGCACAGCTGCCTGACTTGCGGGAGGGTCATGAGAGGCTCACATGGCAGCAGGTGGAATCAGAGGCATGGGGGATGGGGGAAGCAGGCGGTCATGTACCTGCTCAGCACAACCACAGGACAGAATGGGTGGTGCATTGGGATCACCTTTGCCTCCGCCTGGCTTTGCTATGCACTTTTCACCCAGAGGGAGACAAAGCTTTGTCTGCTTGCAAACTGCTGTGCACTTTTTGCGTGCACAGAAAAATGACGGAGATTTAAAGCTTTGTGTGCTTGCAAAGGGGACAGTTTGAAACAGAGTAAGCAAACAAAGCTTTTCTCCCCTGTGTGAAATGGCCTTGTGTGTGGGGGATCGCTTTTTGTTTGCCTACTCTTTTTGCATCTTTGTGGATTTTGTTAATATCTGTTTTAGGCCTTTTCCCAGGCCTCCTGTGGGGAGTCTACCCATTCAGTCAGTGTCATGCCCCTGTCAGAAACTGGTTCCGAGGGGGAGGCCGAGCAGCTGACAGGGAGAGTTGGCTGTGAAAGAAACTGGGGAAGGGCACAGTCCAGCTGGGCAGGGTAGGGGAGAGGTAGAGCAAGGCAGAGGGAATTCAGAGGAAGATCCAGGCCCACCCCCTCTTCATCCTGGGGCATAGAGAGGAATGGAGAAGGGAGCAATGTGAGTTGCGTGGCTTATGGGGGAGGAAAGGGCCCTGATTTCCTTCATTAGCTGCAGCTGGGAATACAGTGTTTAAAAAGGGAGTTTGTGCACAGCAACTTGTTGGAAACAAATTGTGTATGTTTTGTTGAGGCTTATCTGGGTTCACGGTGTCCTCCCAATTGTGTGTGTTTTGTTGGCCTTTGAAGTCTGCAATTCCTTATTCTGCCCTGTCCAGTTAATTGCTGCAGCATGGTTTGTATGGATTTCTATTTACAGTTTATATGTACTTTGTTTTCGGACTGAATTTCCTTCATTTAAAGACTGTTTTTGGGAGAATATTTCCTCCAGCCAAAAGTAACTGGACATTGGGGGCAAAGTTGAAGGTATTAAAGGGACTTTTCTTACTTATGTGACTGTGTTGCCTTTGTGCCATGTCCGAGGTCATCACAGTCTCCATCTGAGTGAAAAGTGTTTGGGAGGCTACCACCGCCCTCTTGGTCCCACTGTCTGCTTGCCCGCGGCCTCAGTCGGGGTCAAGCCCTCAGCCTGTTCCAGCCTCCACCTGCCCTGCTAGGAGATCAAAGAGCCCCTGTGAGGCACTGCAGCCAAGAAGTGTCCCAGCAGCAACTGGGCCATCAGACAATGCGGGTGGATGCTAGGGCATGCTGAGATATTGGCTAGTTGCAGCTGTGGGCAAGCAGAGAGGGGACGGAGAGGGCGAGGCCAGTGATAGCTATGTTCTCACTCCTGTCAGCCCCCACACTTTCCATCTCCTGCACTTAAAAAAATAAGACCTCCCCAAAAATAAGCCCGAGTGCTTGTTTTCAAGCCCAAAAGAAAATAAGAACAGTTCTTATTTTCGGGGAAACACAGTAGATAATGAATGGCCAAAGATGGAAAATTATTACTATAAAAGATAAAAATATTTTAATATAAGAATTCCTAAATAAAAGAAATTGATATCATATTTTTAATTATATAATAATACACAATAAAAAGCAATGATTTAACAGCCATACAGATATAGTTAACTTTAGACTAGTCATTCTTTCTCAGCCCTAGGAAAAGGACAATGGTAACTTCTGAAAATATTGCCAAAAAAACTTGCATGGATCTGCCAAAGAATCAGACGGAGTTAAGACTGATTAAAAGTAACAGCAGCAAGAATGGCAACAAAATTAGAAAGGTTTATTATCTAATGGTACTTTGCAACTCAGATGTGCTACTGCACAAAATTTTACAATACTGTATTTTATAGAAGAATTGCTGTCACAAAGTAAGAAAAACAAATAGCATTTAATTGAGCAGTCTGTAATCAGAATTAAAAAATAAAGCAGTGCAAGTATCTCTGTAGAAGTGTCAATACAGCACAGGTCAGTTGTCTCAACTTGTTCATCATCATAGAGGCATCAGCATTCCAAGAGGGGAAGTTATTCTATCAGTAAGAAGGAAAGCACTACAGTGAGTCCAAAGTAAAGACTCTTCTATGAGCAAAGACTGATACTTTTGCAGCACATTTGAGCTATTAATTTGTACTTTCTGCTTTTTTAAATTATTATTATTATGCTTTTTCACATTTTACAAACCTTAGTCTCATCTTTAATGGTAGTATGACATCATTATTACATATACAAATCTCCATACATTTATATTCATTTATATACATTCATATACATTTATCTACGATTTTCTTATCTTTCTTATTCTTATTTCTACTATTCAACCATTTGTACCAGTTGTCCCAAACCACATAATAATATTCTGACTCTTCTTTATCATTTAACTCTAGCGTAAGTTTATCCATTTCAGCACAATCCAAAATCTTTTGAATTACTAATTCCTCCGGTGGCATGCTATCTTGCTTCCAACATTGTTCAAATGCAATCCTCGCTGCTGTTGTTATGTGTAGTATCATATATTTAATCTTTTTACTATATTTTCCCTTTATTATTCCTAAAAACAACAGTTCAGGTTTAAACTCTTATCTGGTCTTCCACTATTTCTTGTAGCCAACTCCGTATTTTGGCCCAGTATTTTTGAGCTTTCAGGCAAAGCCACCACATATGGAAGAAGGTACCTTGGTTCTGTTTGCATTTCCAGCATCTAGGATTCACATTGGGATACATTTTTGCCAATCTCATTGGTGCCAAATGCCAACGGGAAAACATCTTATATAGATTCTCTTTATAAGCTGCCAGTCTTGTTAAATGTATAGATTTTACTCCATATTTTTCCCCAGTCTTTTAGATCTATGTACTTTCTGTTTTTTTATAAGAAAAGATTGGATAATCTTTTATATTATTGTTCTGTGTTATGCTCTGCTATTCTCAGGAGTACCCAGTATTGATAGTACTTTTTAATTAGTTCAGTAGGAATTCAGTTATCTCTAAAGTGTTCTCTAATTTTAGATGAGAGATCAAATCCATAATCTTCCTTTCATGGTTGACCATTCAGGGAGGACTTTCATATTACAAAAGAAGGCAAGACATATATCCATTAAATCCTAAAATGTCATGCTTGTGTTCTGGGGATGCATTACTGCTAATGGCAGTAATATGCCAAAAACCAGATTTTAAAAAGATATTCTTAACTGCCTGAATAAGTAGATTCCAACCTTTTTCCATGGCAATTTTTTTTAACCTTACTAGTTGTTTGTGCTGCCTATTTTGGTTTAAGAGCTCTTGAACTGTGATTGTCACTACAGACATTATATTCAGCAATCAGTTTTCAGACTAGGATCTTGACTGTCAGAATGGTTCCTTATTAAATATTGGATTTTGTTGGCTCAGATATTTTTGTAACTCCCATGTTAAATTTCTATCCACTTTAGTTAAATAGTGCATCCAAGGGAATTTTCAGCTATCAGTGAAAGACAAATATGCTGGAAAATAAATTACTTATCAAACTGACCAGTTCTCTGTATGATTTTCCAGCTTGAAATCTGATGGGTTGGAATAAATCCTCATTTGATTGTGAAGGAAATAATGTAAACATGTAGTGACTATTAGATAAAATCTTGAAAAGAGTACGCAAAATACAGTAAATTACTAGACATCACTCATCATAAGGGCTCTTCTACATATTTTATCAAAGAATATGCTTAGATGTATGCCCATAATATTATTACTTTTCAGGGAAAGTGCTGTGTGCAAAATACAGAAAAGACTAAAAAGCAATAAACGGCAGGCAATAGTGAAAAGAAATACCTACTCTTACTTCATCTAGTTTATTTCAGCACATTCACAGTGTATCTTTATACCTTTCTATCTTTGCAAATAATCGTTCTCCCACATCCACAAACTGATAACATCTTTTTATTTTTAAATTTATTTTATTTTTATCCTACCTTTATTATTGTTTATAAATAGCTCAAGGTGGTGAACATCCCTAATATTCCTTCCTATTTTCCTCACATCAACCCTTTGAAGTGGATTAGAGAGAGAATGATTGGCCCAAAGACACCTAGATGGTTTTTCATGCCTTCAGAACTAGAACTCAGTCTACTGGCACCTTAACCACTAGATGAAACTGCCTCTCTTTTGCTTTTGTTTTTTTTAAATTTCACGTCTCTTCCTGAGGATTACCTCCACTCCATTGAATTATAACTTTCTCACTCTTCTTTTTCTTCACAATTCAATTACTGTTTCTATAGATATTTATTTGATAATTTATTTGATAATTTATTGACACACTCCATATGATAAACCAATTGAATATATATTTGTAATTGCCATTCCCTTTTGCATTCTGTTTGGATTCATTTGTTACCTTGACATCATTCTTGACTTTACGTTCTCTTGTTTTAGCACAATGTCTTATATATAGATTTTCCCACAGCATTTGACTTTGTTCTGTGGTTGTTGATATACTGAATTCTTGGTTCCCTATGGGCTTATGCATAACTAT